TACATGATTATCCAAGGCAAACACACAGTTGCAGTCTTCGGCAAGTATAAAAATACAAAGCATGAAATTTAATCTTATTCTAGAAATAGCAATAGAAAGCATTTAAATCATACTGGCACAGTGGCTGACACCTATAATACCAGCACTCTGGGAAGCCGAGACTCACGGATTGCTTGAGCTCACAGGTTCAAGACTAGCCTGAGCAAAAGCAAGACCCGGCCTCTAAAAATAGCCAGGCATTGTGGTGGGCGCCTGTAGTCCCAGTTAGTTGGGAGCCTGAGGCAAGAGGATCTCTTGAGCCCAAGAGTTTGAGGTTGCTGTGAGCTATGACATCACAGCACTCTACTGATGGTGACAAAGTGAGACTCTGTCTCAAAAAAAAAAAAAAAAGAAAAGAAAACAAAATTTAAATCAAAGCTGTACCCTAAGAAATAATAAGAAGATACTTGAAGTATAGGTTGAGCATTCCTAATCTGAAAATCTGAAATCCAAAAGAGTTTTAGATTTTAGAGCATTTGAATACTGACATGAGACTACAAGCAGAAAATGCCACTCCTAAATACTAACAGAAACTCTGTTTCATGGACAAAGAATACAATATATATGAAACATGAGTAAATTTTGTGTTCAGACTTGGGTCCCATCCCCAAGATAACTCATTAGATATATGTCAATATTCTAAAATTTGAAATCCAAAACAATTCTGGTGCCAAGCTTTTCAGAGAAGGGTTGCTCAACTGGTATGATGCTTACAAAACGTAGGCTAAGGATGAAGGGAGCCACCACTTACATTTCTCATTTATAACATCATCCTTTCTTTCCCTTTAAAACGTCTAATTATCTGTGCCACCTTAGAAGAATCTGTCATCTGGTGACATACACTTTTAGAGTTTATCTGGTATTCATTTCACAATGGAAAGTCTAGAATAGTACTATTTAAAATAACTTTCAGCAATGATGGAAATGCTCTGTATCTTCACTGTACAATTTGATAGCCACATGCCAAATGAAACTATTAAGCATTTAAAATGTGGCTACTTTAAGAAATGAATTTTATTTATTTATTTTAGAAATAGAGTCTCACTTATCACACTCGGTAGAGTGCCATGGCGGTCACAGCTCACAGCAACCTCCAACTCCTGGGCTTAGGCAATTCTCTTGCCTCAGCCTCCCGAGTAGCTGGGACTACAGGTGCCCACCACAACACCTGGCTAATTTTTTTTTTGCAGTTTGGCCGGAGCCAGGTTTGAACCCGCCATCCTAGGTATATGGGGCTGGCGCCCTACCCACTAAGCCACAGGTGCCGCCCTAAGAAATGAATTTTAAATTTTATTTTAATTCATTTAAGTAACCACATGAGACTACTAAGCACTTGAAATGTGGCCAGTGCGACTTGGGAATGAGTTTTCAAATTTCATTTAATTTTAATTAATTTAAATAGCCACATGTGGCTCATGGCTAACAGATTAAACAGAAATGGCCTAAAAGAATCCTCAGACATCATTTATATCAATTTCTTATTTCTTACAGTTGATAAAACTTAGTTCATTAATCCACAGCTTACCTCTGGCCATTCATTAATATAAAATTAGACTTTGAAATTTTGCCAGGCCAATTATATTGCACATGATGCACATAGGACGTGGCTACTGCTTCATGAATCTTACCTGGAAGTAGTTGCAGTGTGCGTAGGAAGAGGCAGTGGGAGTGACACAACTACTTAGGGCATCCATGTGGGTAGAAGGAGAACAGCACTGTAGCACAGCTGGAACAAATTCAAACACAGAAGAGACATCAACCAAAATAAGCCTCAGCATCCAGGGAGTGCCCTCTTTCAACCTGGAAAGAACTCCACATTTGAAGAATTTCCTTTCTGTCTCTAATAAAATGATATTTAGTCCAATTAGGTGCTATTATTTATTGAAAACTGGTTTTAAAAGCCTTTAAAAGGATCATGTCTACTTTTGTAAGTGATTTCTTTAGCACAGAAACATTTTGTTACCTTCCTAATCAAACATTTATTCTTACTGAAAGCAATTTCTTCTTATTAAAATATCAGAATATACTTGAAATTCCAAATAATTGTTTTAATTATTTGAACCTAATCAATTGGGGAGAGTATTTTAAAAGAATAAGTATATTCTTCAAATGTTCTGCCATTAAACAATGCATCCAGAAGAAACACACATAAAATATTTTCATCATTTAGACAAGTGTTTAGGAATGCAGATCCTAGAGCCAGACTGCCTGGCTTTGGCACCCAGCTCTACCATTTAATAGCTGTGTAAATTTGAGCATGGTTAATCTCCTTGGCCTTCCATTTCTATATCCTTCTAAGATAGCAATAATTACAGAAGCTACCTAATATGGCAGCTGTGAGAATGAATGAACTAATATCCACAAAGAACTTAGAATAGTAATGGCAGAGAGTAAACCACCAATAAATGTTAGGTGTTATTATTTTAACTAAAGAAATGCATTTTCCAAATTTTTCCTCTACAGTTGGTTCATGGAAAGATTGAACTCGTTGCACTGGGATAGTTGCACTTACAGATTTGGTCTTAATAGGTTGAGTCTCCTCTTTTCCAGTCAGAGATTCTCTAGTATGAATGAGAATCTGTTATACATCACAACTTTGGGTTAAACAGACAATGATATATAATGAGTGCCTACCGTGTTCCAGGCACAGTAGCAGATACTTCACATATATCACTTTTACAAAATAAGCAAACTAAAATAAAGGTCAGCAATATTAATTCACAAAGTTGGCAGTGACAGAGACAGCAATCCAACTCTAAGGCACAAGTTGTATAATATAGCACAATACTTCCCCTAACTATTCCTTCTTCCTGAAATCTAATATTTTAATTTTACCAGAACCCCACTTATTGAGTATCTTTAAAGGTGTCTTTATCGTAGGGTGACAAATTTCCCTTTTTATGTCCACATTTTTCATATTTTGAGCATGTTAATAAAAGTACTAAATAATCTCATTCCTTAATATTTGAAAGGAAATTAGCCTAAGAATTGTAAAAAATTAACCGACATGCTTCCCTATTTCTTCATTATTGACTATTGATCTTTAAAATATCAGAAGTTCATAAAGGCAAACTAGAAATAAATATTTTCTCACTGTGTCATGTGCAATTCAAGGCCTTACATTTTGCACATAGGAAAAAAACTGGAAATAACACTGTAAAGAATTCCAGTTCAGATATAAATATAAAGGTTGATATTTTCTGAATATGATTTTTAAAAAGAATTTCAGTGACTAAAAAACGCCATATGTTGCTAAGATTGCCTCATAAAATTCAAGCTATTGTCACTTTCAACACAGGTTAGGTAAACAGGTTCTTAAATTTGATCCCTTAGAGGTTATTCAAATACATAATTAAAATGTTTTAGATTTGAATTTGATTTCCTGAGGTATCCGAAAGCAAAGATACCCCGGGAAATTAACTGACTCCAAATAGCTACTCACTGGGCAGAGACTGCATGGTTTGCTGAAACAAAAAACATAAACCTTTTTTGTTAGAGTTAGAACCATTATGGAAAACTCAGCCCCCTAGTGGCAAGAAAAGACTGAGAAGCTGCAGATTCATTCCATCAATAGTACCAAAAAGCAGTGTTTCATTACAAATAAATCAATGAAAGGTGTTAGCTTTATTTTTCTGATGTATCTATGTTCTGACTTCACCCGTTACACATTTTGAATAGCTGATAAAATGTACTTTAAAATAAATTTCTTGTAAAAATAAAGAACATGCAACAGAGAATATGTTAATATATATTTGATAGCTGATTTTGTCTTAGGAAACAGCAAAATACTAAATGTTCTTAAAGTGTCTAGCAATGAGTGGTAGTAAGAGGCAGGGCCCAGTGGCTCACATCTGTAATCCTAGCACTCAGGGAGGCCGAGGTGGGCGGATGGCTTGAGCTCACGAGTTCGAGACCAACACGAACAGAAGTGAGACTCCCATCTCTACTAAAATAGAAAAAACTGAGGCAAGAGGATTGCTTGAGCCCAAGATTTGGAGACTGCAGTGAGCTATGATGCCATGGCACTCTATGCAGGGGCAATAGCTTGAGACTCTGTCTCAAAAAAAAAAAAATGGATATAAGAAAGGTACTTTATGAAGAAAGGGAGACTAATAGACTATAATCCAAAAAATTCCTCAATGGCATTAGTAAGGAAATCGGCCTTACTTTACATAGTTCCATTCTACTTTGTATGTAGTCAACAAAATAGAATAAAGGAAAGTATTAGTAAGTTTAATGAGTATGAAAATCCAGGCATAGAAATTCAACGACATGCTTAGTATATGATAATCTACTATGCATGTGCATTACGAAGGCACCAACATTTATAAAACTGACTTTATCGTCCTAAGACACATTCATCTGCATAAAGATATTTTTCAATTTTTAGTGTCTTACTTAAGAAAGACACTAGGCATTAACATTGCACACAGAAGCTGGGCATGGTGGTTCACACCTGTAATCCCAGCAACTCAGGAGGCTGAGGCAAGAGGATTGATTGAGACTAGAAGATGGAGACCAGCCTGTGCAAACACAATGAAACCCCATCTCTAAAAAATATTTTTTAAATTAGCAGGGAGTGGAGGCACGTGCCTGGAGTTTCAGTGATCCTCCCATCCTCTAAGGAAGGTGAGGTGGAAGGACCACTTGAACCCAAGAATTTGAGACTGTGAGGAGCTATAATCATGCCACTATACTCCAGCTAGGGGGACAGAGTGAAACCTCATCTCTTAAAAAAAAGAAGAAGAAAAAGTAATAAACAAATAAACTGCATGCAGAAGCAAAACCTCTAAATAATGAACAAAATTTGATTTCAGATATAAATATGAGTTGAAAACATTTTCAAAAAAAGTATGTACCTCTTTGGAAAGAAGTATGAAGAGTCCTCAAAGAACTCAAATTAGACCTCCCATTTGACCCCACAATCCCACACCTATCCAGAAGAAAACAAAATCATTTTATCATAACGACATTTGCACTAAGATGTTTATCATAGCCCAATTTACAATCGATAAGATGTGGAAACAACCTAAGTGCCCATCAACTCAGGAATGGATTAACAAGCTGTGGTATATGTACACCATGGAATACTATTCAGCCATAAAAAGATGGTGACTTTACATCTTTTGCATTAACCTGGATGGAGCTGAAACACATTCTTCTTAGTAAAGTATCCCAAGAATGAAAAAGCAAATATCCAATGTACTCAACATACACCCACATAAGAGAAAAACTTAATTCAAGTTGGGGGGAGGGGAAATGAGGAAAGGGAAGAACAGGAGGGATTAGTGTACTACAGAACACAACTCCAAGACGTACTCTACCTAACAAATTCAAAAATTGCGACCTGGTTATTTGTACCCTCACAATAACCTGAAATGTTAAAAAATTGTCCATGTAATAGAAAAAACTGAAGCCAGAGTTATTAAAAATTACCACTCCTACTTTAGGCAAGGTAAACAATTTAAATACTTCATCCTCTGGAGGTAATTCAAATATATAATTTAAATGTTTTGGACCTAACTTTACTTTACCATAGTAAAGTTCAACAGTGAGAAAATGCCTAACAATATAAATACTCAAAAGGAAAAACACTGTAATAGTAAATTTAATTTCAAGATAGCTTCTATAATACCTAGACACCTAGCATCTCCTCATTTATGGCAAGGTAAAGAAAGGTCTTCTGGGTATATACTCACAAGAAGTGAAAGGAGACATTTGAAAAGACATTTGCACATGAAATATCATCGTAGCAATGTTCACAACTGCCAAAAGTTGTGAATGGGAAAACAAAATGTGGTATACACATACTGTGGAATATTATTCAGCCATAAAAGGAAAAAAAATTTAACATTCACTATGATACGGATGAAACTTGAGGACGTGAAGCTAAGTGAAGTTAAGTTGGTCACAAAAGGACAAATACTGCATAATTCCTCATATGAGGTTCCTAGAACAGTCAAATTCGTTGAAATCAAAAGTAGATTAGAGATTACCAGGGGCTAAGGGAAAGGGGGAATGGGAAGTCATTGCTTAATGAGTATACTGTTTCATTTGGATGATGAAAAGTTTTGGAAATAGTGGTCATGACTACACAATACTGTGAATATATTTAGTGCCAGTGGCAAATTTACATACTAAATATTGCATGATTCCGATTATATGAGGTATTCAGTAAAATTCATAGTATGGTGGTTACCAGGGGCAACCTCTCAGCCTCAAGTTAGTGTTTAACAGGTACAGAGTTTCAGTTGGGGAAAAAGAAAAAGTTCTGGAGACAGATGGTGATGATAGTGAAATGTCCTTAATGCCACCACACTTAAAGAGTTAAAAGGATTAAGTTTTATATTATGTATGTTTCACCACATACATATTATTTATTTTTTTTTTTTTTTGAGACAGAGCCTCAAGCTGTCAGCCTAGGTAGAGTGTCATGGCATCACAGCTCACAGCAACCTCCAACTCCTGGGTTCAAGCGATTCTCCTGCCTCTGCCTCCCAAATAGCAGGGACTACAGGCACCTGCCACAATGCCCGGCTATTTTTTGGTTGCAGCCGTCATTGTTGTTTGGCGGGCCTGGGCTGGATTCAAATCTGCCAGCTCAGGTGTATGTGGCTGGTGCCTTAGCCGCTTGAGCCATAGGTGCCGAGCCCATATTATGTATTTTTTACCATAAAAAGTAAATATTATATAATTGTGCTGTGCTTAGTTTCTTCTGGTATGTAA